AACATCACCAGAAGGTCTGTTAATGATTTAAGTATCTGTAGAGCATCTATAGGGGACCATCAAAATAAAGTATGACCAATTATTTTTATGAAGTGGGCACTTCAGTAGTGTACTAACCTACATTTCAAGCCTACTTTTGCTGAACTGCATTCGAATGCATGCTATTTATGTCATGCAAGTGTCTATGATACAGTGTCTGGTGGATGCCCACTTCGATTTTTTTACCAGACACTTTTTGTGAATAAATAAAATTTTTCTATGGTACTACTACTACTACTACTAATAATAATAATAATAATAATAATAATAATATTTTTAAAAATCTGATATAGTGAAATAGACTAAAATCTGTGTTCTAAATTGATTCATTTCATAAATCCCACACGTTACGTCATGAATAAATCCCTGAAGACTGGTTTAGTTAGCTCTCTAGGTCTGAATTAGCAGACTCTAGGACTGCTATTAGCATAACAACAAGAAAAGATGTTTTCAACTCACTCGCACATTGACACAAATATTTACAGTTACACAGAATCATGCATAAAGTCAAGCAAATTTACCATTTTCTCTTGAGAGTGTAAAAAAAAGCAAAAAACACTCGTTTCTCTAGCAGCTGGTATACATGCTAACTGCTAACATTGTAGCATCAGGGCTAGCTAAAGTAACTTTGACAAAGTGACAATTCTAAAAATAGTGATCAACACATTAAAAGACTATGCCAGTTTATATTGTGGTGCACTAAGTCATCATGCACTAGTACTTTATGACGTCATCCTCACCTGTAAGAATGAGAAATTACTAAATAACAATGCTTATAGGTTTCCAACTAAAGTCAGACACAGTCCAAGTTGAAATTAACTCAATACTCGCCACTTTATTACTGCACCCATTATTGGGATGAGCTTTCATTGTTTTCATAAGACCTATTTTCTGCTTTCTTTCTCTATTTGCAGGTTAGCCCTACATTAGGAGTTTGCAGGTGACGTAGCTCCATCTAATCAGGCGTATACTGTTTGCCTCAGGAGTGTCTCAGCAATGGATATCAGTCAGTCAGTCAGTCAGTCAGACAGTGACTCTTTATGCTAGAACACAAAGCAGTCCAGGAAAAACAGAATCATTTTTAAATAGAGAATGATAGGACTCTATGTGAGCTATGTGAAGTCCTGGTACAAAGTATTGTTTAATGCACACAAGATAATCCAAAAAATAGTATTTGTTTCAAATGCAACCTTAATTATTAATATAACATTAATATATTCATCATACCCTAGAATTAGTGTCTACTTCTCACGACAGGGCCTTTGAAGGAATGAACACTTCATTCATTGAGTGCGTTCACATGCACTCAATAATCTAATCATAATCAGATTTCTGCAGTAAATCTGATTATTCAAATGGTCAATTAAACAGCATACTCTGATTTCTTACATTGGAGTAAGGTTTAGAAATCTGATTAAGAAATCCGATAAAGAGAGCTGGATTTTAGCTGAGTAATCAGATTTCCCAGTGCATGTAAACTCTTACTCTGATTTCTTTCGGATTTCTCAGTCTGCGCATGTGCGGAACAGACTGCTGTACCGGAAATAAGCGAGCAGCGTTTCAGCAAGATGGCAGCACACTTTTGGAGCGACGCTGGAACCAAACACATGCTTTACGAAATTAAGCATTTAAATATTTTTCATCTTCTAGATGATGTGTGTTCATATTTTCAGGTAAAGTGGTGCAATGTTCAAAAAAAAAAGCTGCGGCATGAAGTTTGAGTTGTACATTATGTTTACGTCACGTCTTCTTCTGTGAGTTGATTGGCTGGTTGCAAAGCAGAAATCTGATTGCTGTCTGATTCATGTAGACCTGGAGTTTTCCCATTATCTGATTACTCAAGTGCATGTAAACGCGTTGATCGGATTACTCACAAAATCAAATTTTTTTGGAGTTACTGGATTATTAAGTGCACTCAATGTAAATTATAAAATTTCTCATTTGGAGATTCATAAGGTTTTGGAGGGAAACTTGTCTGTTGCAAAAAATAGTTATGAAGAACCTTTCAAAAGCGTAATCAACACAAAACTGTGAGGAGTTTGCTGTGTGCTATAATAATCAGCCAAATAGTTCACAATCGTGCGAAAGTTTTAATACAAAACACAATTCATACTTAGGTGTGCCCTTTAAATAACTGCAGTGCCGCACATTTTTAGGGTTTCATTCCACTCCACTTCAAGAATCATGTGATTTGAATTCAGATAAGGTTCTTTGTTTACCACTGACGTAAACGTTCTGCTCTTGTTGCACGGAGTGTCCTAGCCCACAAACAAGATAGTCACACATATTAACACACCCAAGGGGTCAAGAACACACACTGCCATCACTGTGATTATATATGTAATTAAGGTCTTTCCAACTTATGTGGTCAGTAATATTTTACAGCATATGGAAAGTCCAATGTTTTTTCAATGCTACAACATTGTAAACAGTTTAATACTCTAACGTTCTTTATTTAAATACGTTAACTATGTTGGCGTTGTATTCTGCCGACAGGTACATCAACCTGTGCATGCTAATTTGACTCATATGAGCTGGGATTTGTTTATGAGGGTGTTTAAAACAGGTGATGGGTTTCATCTATTTACAAATGTGACCTTATGTCCTTAGAATCAATCAACATACAGTATAACCCAATTTATGTTTACATCATTTATCATTATGTTTATATCATATAAGATGGATGTTATGTTATATTGTATTAGCTTTAAACGCAGTGTGCTGAGTGGTAGGCTATATCTTATTCATGATAACCTGCAGTCTGAACTGTATTTGTTTTAAATGCAGTTTGATGAATGTTAGACTATTGTATTAGTTTTAAAAGCAGAATTCTAGATACTGGGTGAGATTGTATCACTTTTATATGCAGTGGCTGAATGTAAAGCTGTATAATATTTGTTTTAAAAGCAGTGTGATGAATGTTAGGCTGTATAATATTAGTTTTAAATGCAGTGTGATGAATGTTAGGCTGTATAATATTTGTTTTAAATGCAGTGTGCTGAATGTAAGGCTGTATAATATTAGTTTTAAATGCAGTGTGCTGAATGTTAGGCTGTATAACATTAGTTTTAAATGCAGTGTGTTGAATGTTAGGCTGTATAATATTTGTTTTAAATGCAGTGTGATGAATGTTAGGCTGTATAATATTAGTTTTAAATGCAGTGTGATGAATGTTAGGCTGTATAATATTAGTTTTAAATGCAGTGTGCTGAATGTTAGGCTCTATAATATTTGTTTTAAATGCAGTGTGCTGAATGTTAGGCTGTATAATATTGGTTTTAAATGCAGTGTGCCGAATGTTAGGCTGTATAATATTTGTTTTAAATGCAGTGTGCTGAATGTTAGGCTGTATAATATTTCTTTTAAATGTAGTGTGATGAATGTTAAGCTATATTTTATTTGTTTTAAAGGGGTGTTTCGACTGTAAGGCTATGTTGTATCTGTATTAAATGCAGGGTGATGAATGGTAGGCTGTATTGTATTTTGGGTTAAATGCAGTGTGATAAATGTTAAGCTATGTTTCATTTGTTTTAAAGCAGTGTGATAAATCTTAGACTGTACTGTATTTGTTTCAGATTCAGTGCACCGAATGCTAATCTAGATTTTATTTGTTTAAACACAGTGGAATGAATGTTGAGGTAGACTGCATTGTTTTAAATGCAGCATGATAACTGCAGTGTGACGGATGGCAGGGTATATTGTATTAGTTTTCTATGCAGTGTGATAACTAAGGCTAAATTGTATTAATGTTACATGCAGTGTGATGAATGTTGTATTGTGTGCCCTCATCTTACTGTTAATCTATCATTGTGTAATGGCAACATGCTTAGATTATTCAGTTACTCATTTGGATTAACATGTTAAGAGGTTTGCATTGATACATTTGCAAATCAGACGTTAAGCTGTTGTGCTTTTAAATATTTCTGCGTTTAATCCAATAAACACTGGCTGTTCAGATGATAAGTGTGATCTGCAGTGTGCAGGTTTATGTAACCTTTTCAGTAGTCCAGTTTTAGACTAGAACTTTAATTATTTAATCATAATTGATTTTTTTTTTCCTTTCACTGAGCACCTGTTCAGCTTAAGTGTTAAAAATACAACGAACAATGAACAATAAGCTGCATCACCATGAAAATCTTCATTCTTCAGTTTCTCTCAAGCATCACTGAGTACATTAAGGCACCGGGTCACATTTTAGATGGAAAAGATTAACACAAATGTCAAAAATATGCTTAACCCCTTAAAATCCCACGTTTATTACATACTTTTTACTTATAAGGCTTGTCATTTAGTAACTACTTGAATTACCTTCTTAAAAGACGTTTCTTTAAGGGTTCTCTAGTGAAGGGAATGGTTCTATTTCAAAACTATGAGTTCTACATAGAACCATTTAATGCTTGAGTGGTCCTTTGCTTGGTGAAATTGTTGTATATGGTTCTTTACAGCACCAAAACGCGTTCTTCTATTGTAAGCTTGTAACAATAGAAGAACCCTTTTGGGAGCTATTGAGAACCATATCCATCTGAAGAACCTTTTCACCATGCAAAGAACCATTTAAGCATGAAATCGTTTTATATAGAACTCATGGTTCTAAACAGAACCATTCCCTTTGCTTTATTGAGAGTGTACAATGCAAACTGAGCTGTTCTTAGTATATAGAGGTGTGTAGTAAAACTTTGGACCCTCCGGTGTATCCTTGCCATTTAAAGTGTGGCAGTGCATAATCCGTAAATGTTCCATGTTTAGGGATTAAAAGGCTAATTGTTTGCAATTATCTATAATATTATTTAAGTGTAATATCAAGTTTAAAGCTTTTGGCAAGTTTACAGAACCGGATGAACCGGTCTGGCTCCACATTCCTGACAGAAAGTCTGTTGGAAACACCTCCAACAGGCTGTGATGTCACTCAGTTGTTCTTGTAAGTCTGGCTCCTTTTCTGTATATGACAGTTGTGACACTGTCATCCCGCCGGGTACTCGTAGCGAGAGTGGAGCCGACAGATTGAGTTACTCTGAGGAGACGCTCTGCACACATACTGGATTAAACAGATCCTTACTTCCCATTGAACTGATATAAAGCTGTAAAAATAAGGTAAGATCAGATCCATGTTGGATGAGGGGTTATAATCAGACTTAGATTAGGATCATTGAAGTATATTAATGCTGACAGAAGGTGGTTGGGATTAAGGATGCTCAAATTCACACTCAGCCGACAGCCCGCTGAACCAGAAATGAGATAAAATACAACAAAATAAAATAATAGCAAAAACAAAAATAATAACAAGAAATCAATGATAATAAGAGCAAAAACAATAATAATAATAAATAACGTCTATTTGTATAGCATCTTTCATACATAGAAGCGCAGTACAATGTAAAAAACCTCTATGTAATTATAACCTCTAATCCACTATGAGTGCAAAAGTTTTGGCACCCCTAGTTAAATGACATACATTTAGTTGATTTTCTAAGTCAAAATAAGTTAAAATATCTACAAAACATATAAACTGAGCAGATGTGTTCAGACCTTTGCACATAACTGTAGATATAGAGCCCCGTACTGGGCAGGGGTCTTAAGCAGATATAATCATATATCATGTTGATGGTTAACAGTGTTCAAACAGTGTTACACAGTGGTCAAGAGGAATGAACCTCAGAGGTTTGAGATGGATGGTACAGGCAGGAATATCTGTCTCTGATTTATTCTGTGAGTCATATTGAGTGTGTGCTGCAAAATGGCTAAAGCTGGTACATCATAAGATGGCATTTGCATATGCGGTATCAGTTATTTTGGTCTGTCACGGGGAAATCTATCCACCCGCTAAAAGCATGTAAAACGCCTACTGACTTTCAGTATCTTTTAATGGATCATTTACATCCAGTGCTGATTCATTTCAGGGTGCGTTCAGGCTGCAGTGAAGAAGTTAAACTAAGTGAGAGAAATAATTTTAGAACTCTTTATTTTATTTTATTTCATTTAACATAAACGTCTTGTCCCTGAGCTTGATCTTGCAGAATTAATTGTAATTACAGGAAATGAGAGCGCGGTGAAATAAGAGACGAGCATTTTTCTGAGCGGAATTGTGCGCTCACAATGCTCTGACTGACACCTAATATCAGCACAGAGCTGCCCGGCTTTGTGGTATGTGATCGTTCATTGTTGTGCGTGTGAGTGAACGGCAACTATCTGGAAGTATCAGTGCAAGATATCAACCATATACCAGTTAGACGAGGCACATGAAGAACCTGAGATATTTACGGAAAATATGCATTGTTGTGTGCACGTACCCAATCCAGCATGATAAAAGACTCTGTCTGCACACTGCACTTGAACAGTAAGTGTCTTTTGTAAGCATCTGAGGTCACTCAACACCCCGGAGCTGGAATGGCTGGTGATGTAAGAAGTCAATGAGCTCATTAACCATATAATTGTTGTCAAACAAAACATTGTATCTCCGAAATGATAACTTTACAGGAGAAGGAAAAAACATACTTTACTTTTAATGTAAGTCAATGAAACCAGATTTTTTTCCAAGTAATTTTGGGCCATTTCTTTTGGTCCATTCATTATGAAATTTAAACACAATACAAAGGGCAACAGGCAATGTCAAAATTATGTATATATATAATTTTATATATATATATATATATATATATATATATATATATATATATATATATATATATACATATATATATATTTATATGTGAGTGTGTGTGTGCGTGTGTGTAAGAGAGAGGGAGAGAGAGAGAGAGAGAGAGAGAGAGAGAGACCTTCATTCATTTATTTTCTACAATTAAATAATTAACAAGTTATTCATTTTTCAGTAGACATTTCTGAGGTGATTAGATATCAGACGAACAACTTGCTTAAGGAAAGGGAAACAAGTCAGTGGAAAATAAGTGAAAAAATTAGTTTTAAAAATTGGAGAATAAAAATTCTTAGAGTATATAGTAACTATGCAAGACCTGACAGACCACCAAAACTGCCCCCATCAGATAAACAGCACTTAAAGCTTTCATCTTTGAGAGAGAGGAGAAAATCAAGCTGCTTCAGATCTGAAAACATCCACAGGTGTTTCTGTCCATCCTTCCACTGTGAGAAGACAACTCAGTGGCAGAAGAAAATTTGGAGTAGAACACCAAAAGTATTTCAGAGTATCTGAAATGTGGTGTAAGGACTTTATGAAGTGATGAGTCTAAAGTTGTAATTGAGATTACTTGGATTATGAGATATATCGCTGCTGTCTGAACAAACCTTAGTATCTCCAAAATAGTAACTTTACAGGAGAAGCAAAAAACGTACTTTACTTTTAATGTAAGTCAATGAAACCAAACATTTTTCCAAGTCGTTTTGGGCCGTTTCTTTTGGTCCATTTATCATGTAAAATTTACATACAGTATAAAGGGCAACAGGCATTTTCAAATTATGTCAAAAACTGAAAAATGCAGATATAAGGTTTTCGACAGCAGTGAGAGAGAGAGAGAGAGAGAGAGAGAGAGAGAGAGAGAGACAGAGAGACAGAGAGAGGGAGAGAGAGAGAGAGACAGAGTCTTATGAGTTGAAGACATCCCTCCCTTGTAGCTGATGTTAATAAAAATCTGCGAAAAATATCTGGTCAACAGCAGAAACTGACAAATGAGGAATGTGGAAGAGGGCTGATGGATTATGTAGCAACAGATGGACTACAGTCTGTAACTGTAGGTGAAGCTCATAAAGAGGGCAGTGAGTGGAAGTACAAGTTAGGAGTTGCTAACAAATGTCTAGTGTGGTATCTTCAAACAACAGGACCGGCCTTTGAACTTCTGTCATAAACACGTAAATGCTCTACCTGTCAATGTGAAAAACGTCTGTGAATCACACTTCGTTCCTCTGCTGCCCCTGTGCCACAGTGCACCCTTGTTTCAAACCGATTCGGCCTGTCGGACCACTATGCGAGAAAAGCATTTATCTGGACATGATTCAGTCAAACGGACATGAGAATTCAAGAGAATGGGCTCGAGCACGTTTGAGCAAGACATTGTTGTCCATTTTGCCCTCGCTGATCAAATACATGTGACTCAGAGGCCAAACACAGCTCAGCTTTAGACCCTCTGGAGCGGCTGAGCCTGTTCGGCCGGGCCGTTGGGCAACCGGCCCGAAATTGACCTGAAAGCTGATGCTTTGAGTAATAATGCTGTAATATTATCTGTGCGCTATCAAGTGTCCCTGGATTCCACTTGAAATTTCCAGATAAAACATACTGTGTATTGTACATTGTGCCTGATCATATAGCAAGATTATACAAACCCCTTAAACCCTTGGCTTATTATTTGGTTACTGAACGTCAACATAATTAAACTCTAACCTGTCATTCAGAGTGGCTTAGTGTGAAATGCTCCGTTCTAGAGAAACTTAGCAAGTTAGAATTGTTCACAGTGGTGATGATAGGAACCAGACGTCTTATAAATATAAATGAAGTCACAAACACATTGTCTGATGCCTGAGACATTGATTTACAACAGTTTTGAGATTTTTTGGGTAGTTTTGGCCTAAAAAAATATTTTTTTATCACCAGCGCTACATATAAAAACTCATATAGGTTCACTGGTGGTTTTGGATATTAAATAAAATGGCTATATTTGTGTTGGTGTCACTGTGACCCCTGGTTCCTATCACCACCACTGTAAAGAAATCTGAGTCTGTAAGTTTCTCTGAGGTGAACCATTTCACACCAAACCACTCTGAACGACTTTGTTTACATCTCAGTGGATGAATTATGCTGAAATGTAAAAATAACTCTTTAAGGTATTTAATTCAGTAAATACCATAACATGTATACACTGAAAAATGTAATGCATTGAATTGACTTGATATATATGTGTACATGCTCTCCACATATTACATCAAGACAGTTATCGTCGAAAGTAAGTGAACTAGAAGACAAATTGTGATAAAATTGTGTAATAGATTTTTCTCCCAATAGTTTGACGCCTCTTTCCTCTCCTGATGTTACCACCCTCACCCATTATCTGTCTTCTCTGTTTTTGATTATGCATATTTGATTTTCTTTCACAGTTTCCTTGTTTCCTATCACAAGATTTTTTGAGTCACTGTCTGACTAATTCTCTTGTTTTCCTGTTCGGCTTGGCAACTATGTTACATTACTGCCTCCTGCTTATTTATTATTCTTTCTACATTGGTACAATTCTGAGAATTGATAGTGTCACCTGACTGTAAAGAGTGTTTGACCATGGAAACAGTACTATATAAATAAAACCTATTAATATTATTATTATTATTATTATTATTATTATTATTATTACATTGTACAATTATGCAATTACATTTTCCTAATACGTATTGCAAGTATATTGTCTTGTCTGTACACATATGTCTTGATACATAGCGTTGTTGCCAGAACAAAACCTCGTATCTCCAAAATAGTAACTTTACAGGAGAAGGAAAAAACATACTTTACTTTTAATGTAAGTCAATGGAACCGGACGTTTTTCTAGGCCGTTTCTTTTGGTCCATTCATCATGAAATTTACACACAGTGTAAAGGGTAACAGGCATTTTCAAATTATGTCAAAAACTGAAAAACGATAAAAATGGAGATACGAGGTTTTGTTCAGACAGCAGTGATATATTATCTAAGCCTGCCTTTCCCATATGGAAGAAAAATATATGTACATGTATTTGCTCATATTAAAAAATAAACATGCAGTATATGTGGTATTTTAAAATAAACTGTCTTTATTTTGAAAAAGCATATATATATATATATATATATATATATATGTGTGTGTGTGTGTGTGTGTGTGTGTTTGTGTATGTTTAGATATGTCAATATATTAAAATACATGCGCATATTTAGATGAAATATAAGTAATAGTGTTAATTTTTAATATTTACAAAAATGTCAAACATTCATATTGGAAAAATATATGAATATGTGCCATTTGGATTGCATGCAAATTGAATTGTGTGCGTGCGACAGGAGCGGAGAGTGAATAAACTATTTTGGATTGACAGCATGCAAAAGCAAAAACATTACCGTTTAATGTGAGTTATGCTGAAACTTGAAACAACTTTCCACAGCTGTAAACACGACGAGCATCTAATCTGTCGAAGCATCTAATCAGAGAGCGAACATGAAACTCATGCTTAAAGATCCTCGTTTGGACAGTCCCCAACCTCACCCACAGGCCAGACGTATTTTTTATTTCTGCTTCAAATGGCCCAGGTGTAATGTGATAAAGAGCCGCTTGGCACTGTTGATCCACTCAAACCGTTTCTATAGGCTTTCTATAGGCTATGAAAGAACTACAGACTAATACATAATTTGACTTAAGCATAACCTGATAACCTTCAGTTATGCTCTGTTCAGGGCAGGAACAGCAGTGAAGAGACTACATTTTCCAAATGCCACAGATCTGTAAATGATTTTCAGAACAGAGACACTGAGTTTGTGAACATGCACATTTGTGTCCTCAGGTCAGCGTGATGGAGCCGGAGGAACAGATAGAGAAGAAGAACGGAGAGAAGAGAGAGGAGAGGGAGGAGAGAGAGGATGCGACGGAGGAGAGTTTCCTCAAAGACCTTTACTTCTTCATGAAGCAGAGAGACACTCCGATAGAGAGAATCCCTCACCTGGGCTTCAAACAGAGTGAGTACAGAGAGAGAGAGAGAGAGAGAGAGAGAGAGAGAGAGAGAGAGAGAGAGAGAGAGAGAGAAGAGAAAGAGTTAGAAAAAGATACAGAGAAAAATAAAGAGAGTTAGAGAGAGATGGGGAAAGAGAGAGAGAAACAGAAAGAAGGATAGAGAACAGAGAGAGAAAAGAGATAGAGAGAAAGAAAGAGAAAGAAAAAAGAGCGAGAGAACAGAAAGAGAAAGAAAAAGATAGAGAGGGAAATAGAGAAATAGGGAGAGTGAGAAAGAGAGAGAGAAAGAGAAAGATAGAGAAACAGAGAGAGAGAAAAAAGAGAAAGAAAAAAGAGTAAGAGAAGAGAAAGAGATAGAAAAAGATAGAGAGAGGGAAAGAGAGAGAGAAAGAGTGAGAGTGAAGAGTAAAAGAGAGAGAGGAATAAGAGAGAGAAATATAAGAGAGAGAAGAGATAAGAAAGAGGGGGAAGAGAGGAAGAAAAAAGCAAGATAGAGAGAAGAGAGAAATAGAGAAATAAAGAGTGAGAGAAAGAGAGAGAGAGAAAGAAAGAAAGATAGAGAAACAGAGAGAGAAAAGAGATAAGAGAGAAAGAAAAAAGAGAGCAAGAGGAGAAAGAGATAAAGAAAAAGACAGAGAGGAAAGGAGAGACAGAGAAAGAGGGAGAGCGAGAGAAAGAGAAAGAGGAGAGAGATTTTAAATATGATTCTAACATACGTTCTTGTTTTCTCTCTGTTTCTAGTTGATCTGTATTTGATGTTTAAGACGGTGAAGGACCTGGGAGGATATCACCAGGTAAAGACCCACTCATTTAACATCACATATTAGAATCTGTAATAATAGTGTAATAACTATTATTCATGTAATGAAGGTGCTCTATGCATGTAAAAATAAAATCCCAAAAAAAGTCATCTGTGCAGACTAAAAGTTAAGAACCCTCTTAATAAACAGCCTTTTGTATTGGGTGGTAAATCTGCTGCACATTCATTACGATCTGAGTTCAGCCCATTTTTAAATCAGTTTAATTCAGTGAGCTTCACTGGCATGAACAAATTTAGTTGCCAAGACAACAGAACAACAATAAACAGTTAGAAAAAGTCTCAGTTTCAATAAAACAGTAGTTTTAAATGATCAAATAAACAAATAAGTAAGAACAGCAATTCAGAGCAGACACAGGATGAAAGGAGGAAAAAAATTCATGCTACTCAGCTGCCCACCCTTATGACAGAGCTGGATTCATAAAAGGGGAATTCAACAGAATTTTCAAATTTTCTGCATAATTAAATGATTAGAATGGAAACAATGTCAATCAGAGTGGTTTGATGTGAAATGCACCGTTCAATTTCTTTCATCAGAATTATTCACAGTGGTGGTGATGGGAACCAGACGTCAGAACAGTTTAATGCCTTTGAAAGCTCCTTCACACAAAGCTATTGGTTATGAATATGCTGCCTCGCGTCTAAGACACTGTTGTTCAATAGTTCTGAGATCATTTTTGCTCTAAAACATACTTTTTAAAATGCATTCATGGTGGAAAGATACATGCAGGTTGTTCTGAGGCAAAATCCTGAAGAAAACGTTTTTTTGTTTTTTTTTTCAATTTTCCACTATGTTACCATCATGAACATTACATATAAAACTAGGAAGGCATGTAGGCTCACTGGTAGTTTTGGATAGTAAATAAAATGGCTTTATTTACATGAACCCTGGTTCTTGTCACCACCTCTGTAAAGAAATGTCAGTTTCTGTACAATGAGGCATTTCATATCAATGACAGAAGTATATGAAGAAATTGTGAAAAATTGGAGGAATTCTCCTTTAAATACATAATAAACACTGCATGGCAGCTCTAGAAGGCTGGATAGCTGCCTGTGCTTGTTTTTGCTCATACTGTTAAAGAATATTAATCGCTCAGTATATCAATATGAATCGAATTCAACCTTCTACAGGGCTGTGGATTAGAAAAAAACTGCTGTCAGCCGTAAGTGATGTTTGGTGTGTGTGTGTGTGTGTGTGCAGGTGACCACTCAGCAGCTGTGGAAGAAAGTGTATAACATTCTGGGAGGAAACCCACGCAGCACCAGCGCAGCCACATGCACCCGCAGACACTACGAAAAGTAAGTGAGAGAAAGAGAGAGAGAGAGAGAGAGAGAGAGAGAGAGAGACTCCACCACCTTCGGTTTCCTAAAGAATCTTTTTTGCAAATGAGATGCGTGAGCACGAAGAACTTTGTAAAGACATGAAAAAAAAAACATAATGCACAATGCATTAAGGTTTCAGGAAGAGGCTTTAAAGGGCAATTCCACTAATAATTTTTAATTTCTGTATAATGAAGTGGTTATGACGTAAATAAAGTCATTGAAGCGGTTTGTGAAATGCTCCGTTCAACAGAAACTTTGTGACTCATCGATTGTTCATAGTGGTTCTGACAGAAGCTGACGTCTGAAGAGTTTAATGCCTCTGACAGCTCGTTCACGGAAATGATCCATATTTGTTATTAGATCGTTAGTTAGTTATTTTTTTTAAATTATCTTATAAATTATATATTAAAAATATATTTTTTAAATCCATAATTGTGGAGAAGTATATGTAGGGTGTTGTGAGGCAAAACAGTCCCCAAAGAAAGTTTTATGTCTTCCATTATTTTACCATCATCAACATTAGATATAAACCTCAGAGGACACACGCAGGTTAAATGATTATTTTGGATAATAAAAAAATAGCTATATTTGTGTTGTAAATATAGCGGCGCTTGGTTTCAGTCACCACCACTGTAAAGAAATCAGAGTCAGTAAGTTATATATGTATTTATATATATATAATTTATATATATCTAAATAAATATATATTTGTGGCACCTTTTTTGAAGTGTGGATGGTAAAAATGTGAACATTGTGTTGTTGTTGGTTTGCTGTCCACAAGGAAAAATGCCTTTCTCCCAAAAAATACTGCAGGTACTACTTTTATTAGAAATATAAAAAGAAGTTATGAGGAGTACAGCAGCATTTCGCTGCTGTCGGACCAAAACCTAGTATCTCCAAAATGGTAACTTTACAGGAGAAGGAAAAAACACACTATACTTTTAATGTAAGTCAATGGAGCCAGACTTTTTTCGAAGCAATTTTGGGCCATTCATGTTGAAATTTACACACAATATAAAGAACAGTAGGTATTTTCTAATTATGTCAAAAACTGAAAAACAACAAAAATGGAGATACAAGGTTTTGGTCCGACAGCAGCGACATACACACAATCATACAACCATAGAAATAACACACACACCAGTACACATTAATGTGTGTGTGTGTGTGTGTGTGTGTGTGTGTGTGTTTGTGCATAGCAAAAAAAGTAAAGTAAAACATCGTTCGTTTTTATAACATGCTCATGAGAGCCAAGCCCAAAGAGAGAAGCCGCAGCTAAACCAACAACCCAGCTTACAGTGAGCGCAAAACAAATAAACTGCATTAACAGCTCAAAACCTTTACTGTTTATTCTGTCTTAACTCTGTTAACTCTCCCACTCTCAAACTAACCCCAAACATCAAAGCACTCTGTCCTGGATAACATACATTTATTTAGCTGTGCTTTCTTTGGCAAACAAAAGACAGACTCATTTTTTATTGTTTTACTCCATTTCTTAAAGCCAGCTGCTCTTTACATGTGAACACTTCATAACTAATAGACCAACGGAAATGATCCAAAATGAGCTAATAATGATTAATGATAAATAGCTTCATTTTGAAAGCTCACTTTCTCATATTTTCTTTACATAACATAATATCTTTTAAATGCAACTGAACTTTTACCCTAAACCTAGCCCTAAATTTAACCTTAATTTCCACCCAAACCCTAATCCTAGTCTTAATCTTAATCCTAAAGTTGGTGACTGTCAAAATAAAGTGTGACCAAAAAATAGTAAATTATATAAATTAATTAAATTCATGAACTAAAGTGTTGTTGCAGTGGTAACAAAATCTCGCATCTCTGAAAATGGCACCTTTATAGGAGAAGGTAAAATTGTTTTTAACTGTAATAGACAGTAATGTAACAATAATGTATAATTTAATTAATTTATGTAATTTACTATGTTATTTTCACATTGGTTTCTTTACTAAATTTAACATAGTGGGGAAAAAAACATAAAATGTATATATACAATTTGTTAAACTCAACAAATAAATAAAAACTGTGTACTAAGATTAGTAGACGTGAACTCATTTTCATTTATTTTTTTAACAAAACATGTTATTTCACCAGGGGTTCAAACGTTTTCATGCAACTGTATAGTACTGTGCTGTACACCAGAGAAAATTAAAAGTTTTAAAACTTTAGCACAGTGTGTAGCGTTGTCGCCTCACAGCAAGAAGGGTCTGGGTTCGATTCCCCAGCCGGGCGATCAGGGTTCTTACTTTATGGAGTTTACATGTCCTCCTCATGTCTGTGTGGGTTTCCTCCCACAGTCCAAAGACATGCAGTCAGGCTGATTGGAGATGCTAAATTGCCCCTAGTTGTGAATGTGTATGTCTGTCTGTCTGCCCTGTGATGAACTGGCGACCTGTCCAGGGTGTTTCCTGCCTTCCGCCCAGTGACCGCTGGGATAGGCTCCAGCACCCCCCACAATCCAGAAGGATTAGGGCATTAGATAATCTATATGTGTGTAAATAACATACATTGAAGTCTCAACATGTACGAAATAACATACACTGAAGTCTCAACATGTACGTAATAACATACACTGAAGTCTCAACATGTACGAAATCTTTGGTTGTATTTGAAATTAATGCTATTTTTCTGCACACAGGCTGCTGCTGCCATACGAATATCACTTGGCCGGGTACGGAGATGACATCCCTATCACTCCTCCTCGAAAACACAAGCTTCCGCTCAGCTTTGATGACCAGTACCTGCTGAACCCGAAACGTGCACTCATCAGACACGCACTCTCATTCAACCAGGTACAAACACTCTCCACACCCCACACTCCAGGCCCCAAAAAGGTTCTATTACTTTAACATGGGTGGTTCAGTACAGCAGATCTACATCGTTCCATATTGAACATGAATTGTCCGATTACTTAATGCTTTTATTATTATTAACATTATTAACAATGTATAACTCTCTCTCTTCTCTATTTCTGCAGTCGACTCCGCATGATTTTATGACCGATGGACGTGTACGGATCATTTCGATGTCTGATGGCGTTCCACACCCGTCCTACCTCCATCCTGGCCCCACATCTCTACCCAGCCTCTTCTCTGTGCCACAGCCTATGCCACCCATTCCTAACATCAGGACACCATTCCACACACGAAACCCATTGCCCTACCTTCCTCCATCGTCCTTTGAGACCGAAAGCTTCAAACAACCTCTGGACCGTCTGCGTCTCCTGGCCAAGGAGTACAAATCATCATCTGGCTTGGTCGAGCCTCTCAATCTCAGCAAAAAGACAGGCAAGATGGAGATGTCAAGCAACACCCCATCGTCTTTTTCTCCACCAGCCTCTAAAAAACTGCCAAAGTTCCTCAACGAGGCTTTGCCATTGTACCTAAACAGGGCTGATCAACCAGGAACAGCTTCTGGACCATCAAAGGCTGATGCCCCTGCCCAAGCAGTTGTGAACCCAATGATCATGGATGAGTCGCATGCCGTTAATCTCACCTCCTCTTCCAGAAGCAGTCCAACTACAAAAAAGGCTCCATGTCCTACTCCACTGCTTGACCACGGGCCGAGTTACCCCGGCACATTCCCTGTCAAGCAATCAGAGAAAAGCCTCCATGATCCCTCGGCCAAAGCAGGGCCTTCTGACATGCACCAGTCTAGCCCCAGCCAAGCCCCCAGCCAAGCCCCAAGCCGTCCATCCTTAGACCCATACGGCGGAATGGAGATCCAGATACCTCTGTCTTTGTTGCAAAACTGGATCAAGGAAGGTCTGATTTCCAGCTTAGTATCCTCTCGTCAAAATCCATCAGGTCCTTCTCAGGAGCCCAAGAAAACTCCATCACCTCTCGGCCAGGGAAGAAGGAGCTCAGAAGCTTCAGAAGGTCTCATTTCCAACTTAGTATCTACCTGCCAGCAGCCAACTGGACTTGGTTCCCAAGATCCCAACAAAACTCCATCATCACCTGATTCTCTCAGCTGGGGAAGAACAAGCTCGGATTCCTCAGATAGTTCCTCAAGTGATCTCCCAGCAGACCTGAGCCTGAGGAGCCATGCGAGAGACCCGGCTAATCCTGGCAAGCCTGACAGTAGGTCCATCGCTAGTCTGATGACTGGTAACGAGAGCCAGCTACCAACCATCAACCGGTATGCAAGTGTAAAGCCCTTTTTCATGCCGCCATCTCCAAAGATGCCATTCAGCAGGGACCCTTACCATCGTGTTTCTCACATCAAAACTGTTCAAGACCATGATGCCTCCCTCAAACAGGCTAACTCTACCAACACAAAGATCAACAGCAGTACAGGACCCAGACCTCCAGGCTATGATGCCGACTTTGGCTACAGCTTAGCTGCAAGGCTTGGGAAGGCAGTGGAGAAGGCTCCTACGTTTAAGATGAATTCTGCCTCCTCACCCCTCATCCACCTCACTCCAGAGCACCTAAAGCTTCTCCTTGCAAGTTCACCTTTTAGACAGGAGAGGGAAAAGATATGTTAAAGGTCTCCACACAAAGGGGATCAACTACTAGGTGCAGCTAAACCCATCAAAAGTTTGGGGACACCCCCCTTTCTATTGTAATTTAATGAGAAATGTTTGTCACTGTTACGTTTCAGTTACCAGAAAGGGTTTCATTAGCATAAAGCAGCTCTGTGCTAATCCTTTGGGTGTTCTAACTTCAACATTCAGCCTCATGACCATCAAGTTTCAATAATTATGTTAATTTATAATAACACTTTTTTTTCTGATTGTAAAAAAAGCACATATTGAAACTCTTTTGGCCCAAAGGTGGTTAGAACACATGAAAGGTTTGCATGATGATGAAGGCTGATATCACAATAATGAGCTTTATTCCCAAGGTAGGGCTTTTCTCAGTAGATTTGCAGTTTTACACAAAAAGTAAAACAGCAAGATCTAAACAGTTTTCTCTTAAGTTAGATAAGTTCTATGTAATTAATTAAGTTATTGCAAACTGACAAAAAATGTAAAGCAACCCAGTCCCCAAACATTTGATGGGCAGTGTACATTTTTTCAGATCTAATACCTTTTTCTGAAGAATTATAAAAATCTGCAATAAGTTGGAATAAGCTGTAATATCACACGTTCTTAATCATTAACAGTCAGTTACAAAGAGTTTGAGAGACAAACTCTAAGCTCAGGCACTGTGGCTGTAAACTAATGAAAGATGTCTGTGAAGAGATATATGAAAGTAAATAATGTTATTTGTTGTATGATTCTGTTTTTTGTAGTGTATTTTTTATGTCTCAGGATTTGACACAAAGTCGCAGCTACACAGTCTTATACCTTTTTAAGGCAAACACATGAAGTTTATTCACTATTCTACATCTGACAAGTTCTAATCTTAAAAACTTGAGAAATGTACAAATTCCTGATCACGTTTTGTGCCTTTTTATTATTGTTTTTATTTTTCAAAGTTTTGGATTTTTTTGAGACATTGCCTGTAGCAAGCCTTCAATGCAATGACTGTATATTTGCTTTAAAAATGTTTTGTATTGTTACGTTATGTTTCTGTAGTATATAATATTATTGAGGAATATACACAGTGCAGTAGTACAGGGCCTTTTGTAAATACTTCTTTCACACTTCAAATAAAACTCTTTTAAATTAAATATCTCTCACTTGCATTTTTTCTTTTTTTTTGATTGCTTAAATTTTTTTTTTTTATTTAAAAGGCCCATACTCTACATTTTTCATCAGTTTTAATTTTCCCCAGAAGTTCAATTATAACACTTGTCATAATTTAATTAAAAAAACATTTTGCAGCCTCTCTTTATCCCTTAGAATAAACAGGCTGTTTTTGTTACTGTGCCTTTAACACTGGAATATGCAAATGACCTCTGTTCTGATTGGCTGCCCTGTAAACCTGCAAAAATACTCCTTATAACTTCAGCATGAATGTGTGGGGCTAAACTGCTGTAGGCTGTATAAATGGACGTATGTAAATTTTTGTGACATCACAGACTTTAAACCAGGCTAATTTTGCAGCGTACATGTCTGGAAACTTTAACAGTGTTACATAAAACATCAAAATCTTTTTTATTTTTTATTTTTTAATAAAAAAATATTTTTCCATGACATGGGCCCTTTAAATATTTATAACCAAAGACCCCAGGACATGATGGAGTAATATATACTTACTAAAAATATAACATTTTATATATATATATATATATATATATATATATATATATATATATATATATATGTATCTATATATATATATATATGTATCTATATATATATATATATATATATATGTATATGTGTGTGTGTATATATGTATATATATATATGTATTTATATGTATATATATATATATATATATATATATATATATATATATATATATATATATATATATATATGACATAAATACTTATGATAACATAATAATAACAATAATAATAATAGTAATAAACAGATAAAAAATAAATACATGAACATTGGTAAGTAAAAGAGAAAAGGGGAAAGTAAGTAAAGAAAGGGAGAAAATCTTCTGTACTGAAAAAAGTATTAATAATTTATTTCTGTAAAATATTTTAAAAAATGGACCCCATGCCTCCTAGAAAAGATGAGGTTCTTTCCACCACCAATGTGAACAAGTCTGAGCATTTCTCACCACGTTTGACTAACAACTAACAACAAACAACAAAGAAACAAGAAAACCAAAACAGATAATAATAAACACTCAGACAACAAAAAAATCCAGACAAATTACCGATCAGTAACAGGTGTTTGTCTTTGCTAAGAGCCAAAGTCGGCAGATATGAGGAACTGGTTTTGTTAAACCTGTAATTCTAGAGGAGCAGTGCAGCTCTGACCTGTCAGAAATGTGTAGTTATAGCTTTAGTCTTCTCCGTGACGCAGAAAAAAAATAAAGGCCAAAATTCATCATTCATAAACAAAGAACAATGAGATGCATTCAGACACTGATTACTGCTGCATCTGGTTTCGTATTAACCGATCTAGGCTTGTCTCTTGCACAATGATGGGATCCAAATCAGATTTTTCCACAGCAGTTCTGATACCTATACTGTTAGAAATAAAGGTGCGGTGCTGGTACATTTTTTGTTCATCAAGGTACAAACAATGTAAATGTGCCCTCTTCCTAGTGGAAAAGTTCATATTTGTATCTTTTTGTAAACTAATGTTTTAAACAATAACCAATAAAACAAAAGTCCTGGAGACGAGACGGGGTGTGTGGAGTCAGTACAGCTTAGAAAATATCATTTCAATGGATTATGGTACAATTATGTTCCCTGACTAAAGGTACTGAGATGTACCCTTGAGGGTATCACCCCAGTGACAAGAGGGGCACTGCCCCAGTGACAGTTTAGTGCCTTTTTTCCTGAGAGTATGAATGCTGTGTGCATATTGCTACAAAAACAGACTTTTCCATTATTTCTCTCAGCTTTCTGTTTAATGTAGTGGAGATGATCTGAATAAGAGGCTTTACACTGATAAACTGTGACATGTTTTTGTCCCATGACAACTATGCCCTATAAAAAGTATCAGTTCAAAATCTTCCAGTTTAACTTTTAAAGAGCCACAAACACATTACATCACTCAAAAATACATCCAACACAATTATTTCCAACAGCGAGGAATGCTGATAAGCTCCGCCCCCTTCATTGCAATATTCAAATACAGGCTGCTCAGTATTCCATACAGTACCACCCACTTTCCCAACATGCTTTGCAAATAAAATCCAGCATTATAACTTCAAGAATGCATCAATTTCTATAGCAATCTGCTATAGTTAAAGAATACAGCGGCCACTGCAGTGCCTACAAATTTACATCAATCCTTTACAGTGAATATTTAACTGAGAAAGTTCATTGTAATGCATGTGTTCACTTTTATTAATAATCGCACAGCAAACGCAATCAACAAGGTCCATCTGCGGAAGACCAGGTAAAATTTACCTGATCAAAACAGCAGACTGATACTCATGACTTGCCTTAAGAATGTCCTTCAACCACAATAAGGCTGACAGGCAATAAGATAAAATGCCATTTGTGTGCGTTACTGTGTATTAATGTTTACTTTCTTCTTCAAGTTTGATATAGTTATGCTTTTAAGGAATGTGTCCAGGAAATGTTGAGTAGGAGGGGCTTTCCTTTGGGACTCCGAGGCAAAGCGATTTCCTGGTTGGCATATCTGACTATCACAAAGCGTTACAAGTGTGACTCACTCCTTATAAAAATACTTAACTTTTTTATGAGTTGTAAGAGTCACACCTTTTTGCCACTGTTACATAATTTTTGAGGCTGCACCTCAACTTGAGTTCAATTTTTGTCTTTTTCAATTTCTGACCTCAAATTTACATTACCTGCCCCATTACACACCTACAGAATAGTATAACATCCATATTCAAATCTGACTTCCAAGAAGACCTGCATTTTGACCTAAATTGAAAGAAAATCAATGTAAAGAGAAGATATTTGGTGTATTACCTTACCAACTTCATTGTTTTCTTGTAAATATACACTCATTCTGAAATTGATGCCTATTCCAAAAAAGTTGAGACGGGCAACGTTAGACTAGGAATGGAGTGAAATGTTTAAAAAAAGTAATTAAACAGGTGATGCAATCATGCTTGGGTATTCAGGAAAGGCCTAGTCCTTTATAAGCAAGGATGGGCCAAGGCTTCCCACTACTGCAATACAGTGGAAACATGCATTCCAGTCAACGAGCCAGCCTTTCAGATTAGTTATGAAAAGAATGGACGTTGTGTACACCAGGCCAAATAAGAGAAAGACCATCTAGACTGTCACCAGCGTAAAGTTCAAAAGCCAGGGTCTGTCTTAGCAGGAGTATTAGTGCCCATGGCATTGGCCAACTTTTACATCTGTGAAGGCTCCATTAATGCTGAAAGACATACACAACATATGCTGACTTGTAGACAGATACTGTCTCTTCCAGGGACGTCAATGCTTATTTCAACGTGGCAGCACCATGCGACATTCTACGTGCTTTAACAGGTTACATAATTACACTCAGAATGCAGTCCAGACTCGTCTTCCAATTAAAACATGTGGTGCATAATGAAGAGCAAAATACAATAACAAAGGTCTTTTACAGCTGTGCAGACATATATTCATACACATGTATTCATACACAAATATGTATGAATATATGTCTGCACAGCTGTAAAAGACCTTTGTTATTGTATTCTATATATGTATATGTATATATATATATATATATATATATATATATATATATATATATATATATATATATACATAAAATGGAAGAATGGCAAAAAACTGGAAATGGAATGAGTGTATATTTAATATTAGTCAATTTACTAATCACTGCTTTCTGCTGTATTAGCATTCCAAATACTGCCCCAACTGTCTTGAAGTTTATCATAATCGTGTTCTGAGAGTATTTACATGCAGCCAGAAAGGATTTCAGCATATGCTAGGATTTTTCACACGCTGTCCTAGAACTGCAGAAGGGGCCAAAAACTCAACTGACAAACTCTTCAACAAATCAGAGTAACTTTTCACTTTGCTATGCTTAGCTCAGTAATGCAAACTATGAGGACATAAAATCTTTATGCCCGTAAATTTCCAACCTTCATTCCAGCCTTAATCTTTTCACATGTCATGCCCCGTGGGCCTCTCTCTTATCTCTGTTCCTCTGCTCATCAGTTGCTTTCATGTGTTTGAGCAAAACAAGGATGTACCACAACGTATGCAAATGTTGATCTGTGGAAGCTGTACCGATAAAATCATTAAATTATAGACAAAGAAAGCACATTTTACTGTGTGAAAGCACATCAACTCTTAGGACTCTTCCAAGGTGAACTTGCCTCGAAATAGCTCTTCTTACAATCTGTTTACTTATTTCTCACTTGTAGGCCACAGAAACAAGTAGATGAATTCTGTCGAAAGAGCAGATTCTAAACTTGTAATCCCTCATTTATGTTTGTACGTAGGAGATATTTTATTAAGATTTGAATTTGATGAAGTTATGGTTGTAACCTCAAAACAAACAGCTGAGTTTTGAGTTTATTGGAAGTAAAACAGTAAGTCAACACAAGACGGAGATTCTTATTGTGGTAATTTATTATCAGAAGTACAATTTAACTTTTTAAAGTTAACACAGCATTTTATTACACCACGTGTGACTTTCCAGGCTCTAGAGGAGTTGGACACCAAATACATAGCAAAATCTACAGAGTCAAATAAATATCTACATGTTCACAGAAATTCATCTGGATGCACTAATTTAGTTGTATTAAAACCAGGGCTGAATTATTGACAGTGAGGAAATAACATCTACTGTGTTGGATTAACACATAAAGTGTTGGACTAACACCTAGAGTTATGGATTTACACCTAGAGTTATATATAATGTATATATATATAATGTTAGATAAACATCACAGTGCTTAATTAATACCTTCAGCATTAGATTATCAGCATGTTCAGTGTTGGATTGACACCTACAGCAT